TGAGAATATAGCAGAAGCAGGAAGGTCTATTTGACCTTCTTTCAGCCCTTTCTCCCCTTGAAGCAGACCATAAAACCCAGGAAAGCCATTCTCTGACCCGCCCCTCCCCTTCTCTCCTGAAGACCCGCATTGACATCATGGTAAACTGAGGAAACAGGCTTTCTTAAGTAACCCCCTCCATACTTACTGCCATCAGATCATACCCTTTTATCCTCCATTCATGCTTCTGTATGGCTATCCATACAGATACACAGATCTCACATTTCATTGGGTCTTCCTTTCTAAAAGCTCCTGTCACGTAAAACTTACATTAAATGCATTACTTTTTCTCTTACTAATCTGTCTTCTGTTATAGGGGTCTCAGCCATGAATCTTACAGCAGGTGAGGAAAAGGTATAACTTTTTCTTCCTGTAGGGAAAAGTTCCCCCAGGGAAGACAGTACTCTGAGACTGAAGAGTGGTGGGCAGCAGATGGAAGTATCATCACTCCACTGCCTTACTCCATGAGATACTGGAAGTGATGACATCCCAAAATCCCAACATGGGCCAACCTTGCTTCTTCCACCATACTCCATCCTTGACAGAATCATGTGTAGGTCATGCCCAGAGACCAGTGGTTCCCTTTGTCAAATGCCTACACATTTTTCCAGCCAAAAGCCATGTACCACAATAAAATTAAGGATGGGCTAAGGCATGAACTTCCTCTATAATATGGTAGAAGGGCAATTTGAAAGATGACAAGGGAAATGAGAAGTAAGTAGCTTGACATTTATACTAGCAGGTACATTTTCAGGCAGACCAATTTTATTTATTTATTTATTTGCTTATTTGAGATGGAGACTCAAGCTGTCACTCTGGCTAGAGTGCCATGGCATCACAGCTCACAGCAACCTCCAACTCCTGGGCCTAAGCAATTCGCTTGCGTTAGCCTCCCAAGTAGCTGGGACTATAGGTGCCTGCCACAATGCCTGGCCATTTCTTGGCTGCAGTTGTCATAGTTGTTTAGCAGGCCTGGGCTGAATTCGAACCCACCAGCTCTGGTGTATGTATGTGGCTGGCACCTCAGCTACTTGAGCTACAGGCACCAAGCCGGACCAATTTTAGTAAAGAGCACATAGACATCAAATCCGGAAACCATCTCCTTAAAACTACCTGTGCCCAGGTGTGCCTTGGAAATCCTATAGCTGCAGACGTGGATTGTTAAATATAATCATGTTTTTTTTTTCTGAGACAGAGCCTCAAGCTGTCCCCCTGGGTAGAGTGCCGTGGCATTACAGCTCACAGCAACCTCCAACTCCTGGGCTCAAGTGAGTCTCCTG